AGAGGGAGGCAGAAGTAGCGATGGTGGATGGCGGAAGGCAGGAGAAAGGCCGAAGGTGGGATGGTGGGAAGCGGCGGAAGAAGTCGGGAGGGGAGGGAGATAGAGAGATAGATAGATAGATAGATAGATAGATAGATAGATAGATAGAGATAGATAGATAGATAGATAGATAGATAGATAGATAGATAGAGATAGATAGATAGATAGATAGATAGATAGATAGAGATAGATAGATAGAGAGAGAGAGAGAGAGAGAGAGAGAGAGAGATGGCGGGAAGAGGGAGAGAGAAGTAGCGATCGTGGATGGCGGAAGGCGGGAGAAAGGCCAAAGGTGGGATGGTGGGAAGAAGTCGGGAGGGGAGAGAGAGAGAGAGAGAGAGAGAGAGAGAGAGAGAGAGAGAGAGAGAGAGAACAAAATCAAATGAATCCACCGCTAGAACATGGAAATATACATTGCGCACATGCACGCAGCACACCAGACGTGCGCAGCGCACCGCGCAGCGTGCACTGCGCACCCAGATGCGCGGCGCGCGCTGGTGCGCGCGCACCCTGGGTCCGCGCACAGCGCACAGTGCCGGTGCGCCGCAAGTATGAAAATTACTAAAAATACTAAATAGTATGATGACCAGGGTAACCGGCGTTCGGGATGGGCCGAACGCCCGAACGTATGGGACCCCTTCGGGATGCGTTCGGCCGTTCGGGCCGAACGCTGACCCAAAAAAAAAAATAAAAAAATCTGAAAAAAAGATATGTTATGAAGAGAAATTAATTAAACAAGATTTGCCTGAGCATTACATCCAAATTCCTCACCAAATTTGAAATGAAAATAAAATACGAAAAGAAGATACTAATAATGAAAATAACAAAAAGTAAAAAAAAAGAATTAAATTCAGTGAGTGCGCGAGCACGTTTTCGACACCGCCATCTTTGGCGATTTTTCATTTTTTTTTGGCATAGCTATATGCCCTGAAATTTTACAGATGTGTACTTCACATAATGCAAAACCCACTAAAAAAAGTTTCAAAAAATCATTAAATTGTTTAGACCCCGAACTAAAGTGAAAACAAAAAGTAAGAAGTGAAAAAAAACTTGGGCGAGCACGTTTTGACACCGCCATCTTTGGCGATTTGTAATTCTTATTTGGATGAGCCAAATGACGTGAAAATTTATAGGTATGTACCTCACGTCATAGAGAACTCACAAAAAAAAATCAGTAAAAAAACGATATTTTAGGCCCCGAAATAATTTTTGGCGGGGATCGAACGCCGTCGCGTTTGGACCCGTACGGGACTCCGTATGCCCGTACTTACAGAGGTCTGCCCGGGGACCTCCGTACGTACGATTTTGTGACCCTGATGATGACGATGATAGTACGGATCTGTATGGTCATATTTATGTTGATGATTTTTAGTATTTTTTTACTATTTGAAAATGTAAATATCTATAGACATCCTAGAATGCCTACGCATCATATATACGCATCTGATGGTGCTGTTGAATGTGATTTCCTTTCACTTTCATGTGGTGTCGCTTGGTGTAGAGTGTCTGCTAGGCGACAAGACGGACTGCGTAGCTGGTTTGCGCGATATCGTTCCTGGATTTGGGGCTGCAACGGCGCGGAAGTTGATTCTGAAACATGGTTCCCTCGATGCACTTCTGTCGGCAGCAAAGGCCCGGCCTATTGGCCGAGAATTTATCCGCAGTGCTCTTCTGGATAATGAGGATTTGCTGAGGACCAATCAAAGGGCACTCTTTTTGCGCAGGTGAGGTTTTTGCATTCATCGTTGCTGTGCTTTTGCTGTTTTTTTTTTTAATTCAGTCAGTCAGTGCTTATTTGATGAAAATGAAGATGAAGAAGCGCGTCATCCATAAGGCAAAGCATATACAGTACTGGCCAGCTCAAGTGCATGTTCAGAACAAGGAGAATCCAAAACACACACACAGACACACACAGACACACACAGACACACACAGACACACACAGAGTCACAGACACACACAGAGTTACAGACACACACAGACACACACAGACACACACAGACACACACAGACACACACAGACAAATCTGTGAAACCCGTCATACACCTTTCCCCTGCTCTTTGCATGTCATACTCTATCCTCCACATATTTCTTTCCTTCCCGTTGCCCCTACCTCCCCTGCCCCATACTCCTAGAGAACTCCGCCTTCTATCCCTTACCCTCCACCCTCCCCTCCACTCCCTTTCTACTACTAACAAATACATACAAATGAGCATCATTAAGAGAATAGACGATATGAAAATCAGAAATGAAATGAACAGAAGTATGAAGATGAAGGACAGACACAAAGACTGTATAAGCTGAAGATCTTAAGTGAAATGAACAGGAGAATGAAGCTCTGAAGAGATGCACAGGAGCATACCTTCTGTTTTACTCTGCCTCCTGAAATAATGTGCAAGTGGGCCGTGAAGGCACACGGGGATGTGGGCAGCTGCCGCTCAACCACAATCAACGTGGGCAGCCTTGTGCGTAAGAGGCACAGTAAAAGGGGAGCTGCAAGAACAATGAAAGGGGTACCCCAAGGACAACCGAAAAACTGTCTAACTATAAAATTGCTTTAATATGTTGGACATCTCAAATGCTCTCGTTGTCTGCAATAGGACAAAGGCTGCTTTGATTCTGAATCCATTCACCTGGGTGGAATTGGCGCTGTTGTGTGGAAAATCTAAAACACACACAGACACATGCAGCCACACGCAGACACACAGACACACACAGACACACACAGACACACACAGACACACACAGACACACACAGACACACACAGACAGAGACACAGACAAGCAGACACACAGACACATGTCATGCTTGAATAATTGTGAACGTCAGCCTGCTTTCTCGATGCCAGATCAGCAATATCTCATGTGTCGGCAATGTTTCCAGGAAGCTGTCATGGGAAGTGCTTGTCTCTTCTGTGTGGAATATCGGCTATATCATGGACTATCACCACACTGGCCTTATCTCCATTTCACACTCAAAGCACAGAAACCTTGGGGTCACTCAGTGGAACAATCTTTCCCCATCTGCACCTCGCTCAACGGCTCGTCACCCTTCAGTCTCGCACTTGCATAGTTGGCCCCCTCATAAACCTCTTGCAAGCATAAAAGGGGCCTCTCACTCACTCGTCTATGCTCTGCAGGCCGGATCAGGTCACTTCACAGCTTTATCAAGAAAGTGGCGTGTGACACTGCTGGATTATGCAGAGTGCTGAGGAGATCGTCTTTGATCTCAAGCAGATGCACATTCCTTGGAGACTCTACCCCACACACAGTGGATTTCCCTACTATGTACACTAAGCTGCCACACAATAGCGGATTTCCCACAGTGTACACTAACCTCCCACACGATAGGATCTTTCACAATGTGCTAAAAGAAGTTTACGAAGCATATGACTATGCCTTGCTGCTGATTCCACAGGACAGGAGGCCGGTTCAGTTCTATATGACAGTGGGAGGCCTTCATCAAGGGGAGTGGATAACTTCACAGGGCTCCGACACTCTCTCAGTGTGAGGTATAGAACGACATCTGCACTGTTAGAAGTCCTCTCCACTTGGAAGCATTAGTTATTTGGTAGGCAGTTCAAGGTCTATTCAGACCAGGAGATATCCAAGTTGCTCAAGACGCAGCCGCGGTTGTCTGGTAAGTTAGTTAGGCGGTCTACGATAATTGACACCTTTGACTTCAAACGAAAGACCATCAAAGGTAAGTACAATTCGGTGGGGGATGCCCCCTCTCGACGATCTGATTTCTTTGGTGCTATACTTACCTATGTTGACGTGGGAAGTGAACTGAAAGAAAAGCTGGTTATGCTAAAGATCCTATTTGGAGTAAGATAATCCAGACTCTATAAAATTATAACCCAATCCTAAGCACTTCCCAGACTATCAAATGACTAATGGCGTACCATTCCTCACTAGTAAAGGAGAATATAGAATCTGCGTCACGAATGTTGAGTTAAGATTCTAGGTGAATGCCATCACACAGAAGGACACTTTGGCAGGAGGACGACCTATACTAATGCTTTGCAACAGTTTTCATGGGGTTTCTGAATATGGATTCCCAAAGACCATTGTGCCTTATAGAGATGTGTGATTACAGGACAACGCTAGCAAAAGGTTAATGGAAGTATGTGGCACACAACTGACCATGTCCTCAGGTAGACATCCAGAGACCAATGGTCAAACTGACCACATGAACAGATTGTGCCAACAGCTTCTCCGCATGTATGTACATCCTGACCAGACTACCTTCTTCCCCCGAATATAACGTATGGTCATTATAGCTGGGGTATCATTCAGTCTAAGTACAGCTATAATGACTGTACATTGTATTTGGGAGAAGAAGGTAGTTGGGATGAGAACTTACCTAAGATAGCAAGTCCGTATAAGTTCATATAATAATGATAAACGGGCGAAGGCCTAACGCACTGCATAAGGGTGGCAACAAAGAATACCTATAGATTCTCTAGTAAGAGACCAGGTCGAAAGGTTACCCCCAGGGGCCTGCGACTTTGCAGTTTTGTATGAGCAAGACGTGAGAGTCAAAGATAACATAAAGAAGGCTCGGACGCAAATGATTGAACAAGCTAATAAACATAAAAGACCCTCAAGCTTCAAAGAAGGGGATTTGGTCTGGGTAAAGTCAAATGAGTTCTCCCTACAAGAAGGGATGACGCAAAAACTGCGACCTGCCTACTATGGGCGATGGGAAGGTTTCAAGGTGATTGGGGATCAGGATGGACTATCTCATTGGCGTACCTCCCCATCTCGAGACCCATCCTGTCTTCCGCGATTCTAAATTATTACCCTATATTTAAGGAGATGACCACCTCAGTCGTCTGTCTATGCTCCCATCTTTAAATGGATGGAGGGTACCAAGTCGAAAGGATCCTGGAGCATGTTTTTTTTCTCTACAGGCGGAGGAGGAAGACCTCGTAAGTAATATTAGGTAAAGTGCAGCAACCAACCAGGGTCTGGAGCCAGGTGGTTTAGTAAGGAACAACTCTACCTACCCCTGCAGACATAAATTGTGGGTAATGAACAAGGTCGCTCGATAGTGCTTCAACTAGGGCTGGGAGTTTGTCATGGCCTAGCGCTGGTGTCTGCAACCGCTGTCCGCTATACCCGAGAGGGCCAAACAAGTGCCCCCGTAGATGAGGAAGCAGAGGTTACGTTAAGTAAGCAGAAAGATGAGGTAGGTAGGGGTCGGTCCTGTGAGCAACCATAAACCAAAAAAAAAAAAAAGAGTAAAAAGAGAAACCATAGCAGATGAAGAATGAATTTCTGCGATGGAACATGAAATCGGGACAGCAGGAGTGCAATGAACTTGGTTCAAAGTCGACACAGACGCAGACCAGGGCTGTAACTTTCGGTCCAAGTCAAGCAAGATTCAGGGGTCAGGAGTTGCATCTCCTGTCCTAGAAGGGTCAACAGGCATAGGGTCCAGGGTCAAACGAGGCAACCTGTGCCCGAACGATAGACAATTGACTTGTGGAAAGTCAAGAGTCAGGCCCAGCCTGGGAAAAGCAGCCTAAGAGTCAAAGATTTGTCAGCACTTGACCACGCCCATAGATCAGATGCGCAATCAAAGGCTGTCTGCATTTATTCCAGGAGATCCCAGGGGCTATTGGGTCCAGGCCCACTGAGGCCGACAACAAATATGGGGGATGGTACCTGCAGAGAGACTTCGTCAGTGTCATGAGGGAGAAACTTGCATTGCTGAGGTGGTGAGTTGGTGGGGGAAGGTCCCGGAGCTGAAGAGGGGTGGAAGTGCCAATTCAAGTCTATCATAGATTCTAAAATTATTAATTAAAGGGATAATTTGCAAAATACCCACATAAGTTGAGAGATATATGCTAAAATGCCCCTGAAAGATGTGGGTTGAGCGGAATGCCCTTTTGGGCCAAAATCTTTGTGTTATGCCCCTGTCAGGCAGGTGTGCAAATTTGCAATCTGGACCTCGCCATTCGGGCCTTGACCTTCTGCAATCGGAGCGTGGAAAAGTTGGAAAGTACCGGGGCAGTTTGCAAAGTTGGACGGTATCCGGTAGGGGTATATTGCAAAGATGGGGGTCCAACAGACGCCAAGGGTATTTCAGAAGATGTTTTTGTTTGTTAGCGGGGGATTCTGCTCGCATTTTGGTATATATCTGAACTTACGGGGGTATTTTGCAAATTATCCTCCCTCTCTCTCCAGTGGTTCTCTACCTTCGTCTAATCTCGGGTGACTCGCTACTCACTGTGGGACTACATTGAGTGATTGTGGACTTGTTCTGCATTGTGACTGGTTCAGTTTGAGTGCATCCAAGATACTTGCATGATCGACTTGTGAAAGCTTCTCATAATTGACGAGTTCATTGCATACAAAAGAAAAAAGGAAGAAAAATGAAGCTGAGGTAATCCCCTGGACACCCCTTTAAGCCCTTTAACAACACTGGAAAACAAAAAAAAACAGCACAGATTTGGGCTGCTTTTCAGTGGTTGCAGAAAAGCCCAACCAATGAAAACAAAAAAAGGAATTCGTGTACCACTTGCAACTGGACAGCCGGGTGCCCCTGGGGCACCGTCCCATTAGCACCAGGATATTACAGGATTCTATCCATCCGACTTATGAGTGACAGTGATAAAAAAAAAGAAAAATTAATTGCAAAATTAGAGACGAAAACTATAACAAATGCAAATAGCTTTCATTGCTGGACTGCATGCATCACTGTCTGATACGTCA